CATTCCTAACACCTGGTAAGCATATGATCAATCAATGCGGCGAGTAAAGATAGGTAGCTCCTGCATCCGTGAAGCTCTACACCATACTTCAAACAAGTAACAAGAATTCGAACGTGTGTTTGTCTGATAGATACCAAGAGCATTCTCGTCAATAAGCTCTGATTCCCGGTAAAGAGGATGGCTGCAGCAAGTGTTTGTCCACACGAGAGGGAACGTAACCTTTGTTTTCGACCTTTGCTGTCAAGAAGACACGAAGAAATTTCAACAGAATGGCAGAAAAAAACAAGCATTTGAGGAAAACAAAAAGGAAAAGTAGATTATTATCATTCTATGAATTCTAACAGAAGAAAACTATAGGATAATCAGAGCATAAGATGGTATGAAGTAGATTTATAATTCACTGCAGAGATCATAAGTATTAATACCTGGAGAAGCAACTCATATTTCGAGTTAAACAAAAATACGCTGAAGGCCCTGTGTAGCAAGTTTTCAGATTCAATCTTTTCCATCAGATGACCTGCGGATTCTATAAAGTATCAAAATGCTGAACTAGCTCGATTCCAAATTAACAGAAGTAGGATGAATTAGGTCATCAGAGCTGGTAAACTAGCTTATCACTTCCACAAGAGGCTGAGAGGGAAATGAAGAGGATTGACTTACAGTTGTATTTGTTGTCATGGCCCACAACTCGGTCGTTTTCATCAACGAGAATGCATCTGCGAGAAAGATTGAATCAAAGCAACAGTCAGTAAATCGATGAAGTAATTCAACTTGGTGGATAAATTCTCATCATGTCGATGGCAAAATACTCCCATCAAAACAAAGGTTCATCCTTTGTTATTAAAACATCTGCAGAAGCATTAAGTAACCATCCGCGAATTGGAGTTTTTCCCAGGTACCCGCTTGGCTACAAATACATTAAAATCTCTCTTAAATACACACACTCGTACATACACATGTATATGTATGGGTGTATGTATGTAGATGTGTGCATGCATTGCTTACACATATTGAATTCCAAAAACCTGGGAAGAGAGCTTAGCCGACGTCTTGAAAGGAACCACCCACCCAGTTTTAAAAAAGGTCTAGACTTTAAGATATCTGGCCGCAGATCACGATTCAAATTTCAGACTACGTGAACGGAAGAAAAAAGAAAAAAGCAAAATTTGTACAAATTAGACACAGGTTTCATTCATTTTTAAAGGAAAAATAATTTCTTCTTCGGTTTTGACGAAGGGCGAATAACTTTTTTTTTTTGAAAACGATAAGTAGAAGAAATCAATAGAAGAAACCCAAAATCCAGATCTCTAAATTCGTCAGTTTTCCTTCATATTTCACCATTTTGTCGGAACCCAGAGAACGGAAACAAACCTAATTCCACGATTGGGTGCCACAGAAAAGCCACACACGAAAGAAGAAAAAAAGCGAACTCGTTTTCCCCAGGAATCCAAAACAAGTAAAAAAAAATCGGAATACAGGAATAAGAGAAAAAGTAATCGAAAACTCACTCGTCCTCGAACATGAGGCGTCGCTGAACGGCATCCATGCCGGAATCGACGGCGGAATCGGCCATGGCGGTCAACGAGAAACACCGAAAAGACGGAAATGCCCGCTGCGGAAGAAGGGAGAAGGATGGAATCGGGCGGAGTGACCGAGGGTCAAACCTGGAAGACGGAGGAGGAGAGAGAAGGGCTGGGGATCTGAGGCGAAAGGAAGGGATACTAAACAATGAAGAAGACATTTGAGTGCATGTGATCTCTTTCAGGACTTATAATTTGAAAAATCCATGTGGCCTGTTGATGCCTTTTTATTCTGTTTTCTTTAGGGTTGTTGTATTTATTTATTTTATATAGAAATAAATAAAAATAAAATTCGCATGTTTTTTTTTGTGTGATATAAAATTCGCATGTTCCCAACGTGAAAGGTCGGACCTTTGTCTGTTGGATAAAAGTTACATCTTCCTAATCCTAACTACAATTATTAGCAAAATTGACTAATGCCAATAATATTAGATAGATAGATTATAAATTCGGATTACCATTTTCGATTTTGATAATCCAAAATTTTACAGCTGTTTATGGCTTAGTAAAGTAAATAGAATAGATAATAGTATAATCTTTAATTTTATTCTAATTGAATCCAATTTTAAAATTAATTAAATATCAAATTTATATTTAATATAAAGTATTCAAAAAATTAAATACAAATATAACTTTTAGAATATTAGTTTTTGTTTCATAAAATCGAGTTTTTTTTGTAAAATATTAATTTTAAAATTCAAAATTTTCGAAGACAGTCCTAGCTTTATTGATGTTAGATTGTCTTTTACATAATTTCTTTATTATAATATTAAAAAAATCTTTATGCCACAAATAAGTATTTGAAGAAATCTTTGCATTCATTTTAAACCAAATCAAATAATACGATACATGAATTTTGTTATAATTCTAAACAAAAACTAAATTCTAAAACAAATTAGCTTGGAATTAAATTTATTAATTGATATATATTTGGAAAAAAAATCCATCTATTTTAAGAATTTTAATTTTATTGTGTCCATTTCAGTTTAATGGCTAAGATTAAATTTTAAAAAGTAGAATTAAAATCCAGGGTTTTTAAACCATTTATAAGAAATTAATTTAAGTAATTTTTTAGTATTTCTTTACAGCTCGCTTATGGTATTGGTGTACTGCCATTAGGATTAATGGATATGCATTAGTATTTCTTTTATTTGCTCCTTATTTTCGGAATAAAAAATCTTTTTAGTTGTTTAACGTTTATTTTCTGTAATTTGGACATATATTTCTTGAGTTTACAAACGAACGAAAAAACAAACAATATTTGTTTAATCTAGTTTTTTTAATTATGGCAGAATTTTGTAGTTAAAAACATACATAAAAAATTATATTTCTTACAAGCAAAATTTCAAACAAATTTTATTAGGAAAAAACTCTCATTCAAAAATAAAAACTTCTCAGGTATCTAAGCTAGAGACGGACATTCGATTTGGATATTTCGGTTATTAATCGAACCGACCGATATATATCCGAATTGATTCAAACCGAATAAAAATAAAAAACCGTTTGGTTATGATTTTTTAAAATTTAAAATAACCGTAAACCGAATTAACCGTACCGAATAAACCGAATATAACCGTTTATCCATCTATGTATCTCTAATCAATATACAATATATCTTAAATCTAATTAAAAAAATAGTATAATGATATTGTTTTATAACTATTATATATCATATATAACAAATTGAGATATATAATTTTTTCTAATTTAATCATTGTTTTATTATTTTCAATTTATTTCATAATTATTTTATTATTTGTTAAGATGTTTATGATAGTATTTTATATTATCATAGACAATGGAGGGTATAAACGTCATTTCAGTTTGCTAATATATTATCGTCGTCGTCATCTTCCCCCGAGCAATCTGCACCTCGCCTTCATCGATGTCGAAATCCGAATTGACGTCAATACCCCAGTATATCCAGTATATCCCAAACCCATTCGAGGGCCTTATCGTCATTTCAGATGAAGCATAATCAAATTGAGAATTTTTCCCTTTCTCGAAATTTGTCCTTCATTTCCGTGGTTCTCGTCACTCGCCTCGCGCAATGCCTCTCTCTCTCCGTCTCTCTCCTTCTCCGCTGGCCGTCGCCCGATCTCAGGCTCCGGTCGACTCCGGTGCCGGACCTGTGAGACACCATCGGATACCGTTCTCCGGCGCCGGAACGAGTGGTTTCCACTCGAGCAGTGTCTTCGTCACCGGGAAGAGGGGTGGCTCCTCCTCTGCGGTGAGATGTAGCGTGGAGACCGTGGATGTCAGCGTCGGTGTGGTGACGGAGGTGAACAAGGACACTTTCTGGCCGATCGTGAAAGCCGCCGGTGAAAAGATCGTCGTCCTCGACATGTACACTCAGTGGTACGAGTAGAGATTCCCTGTCGTGAGAAATCTGAACTTATTTGTTTGATTGCCGTCTCTTGCTCGAACTTCGTAGTTGTCGTTTAGATTCGACTGGTTCTATCCCTAGATTTGTTTGTTGAGGAGGAAGACGATGGTAGAAATGAATGACAGAATGCAAAATCTCTGATTTGCGCATGAGTTGCAGACAAATGGAAAGTTGGGTCCTGTGAGAAAATTCTAGGATGCAGAAGAAAAGCTCTGGTTTGCTTTGCTCCTATTGTGTTTTCTCTTGACATGAATGGAGATTACACAGAGGAGGGAGATTGTTGTGTTGTGGCATTGTGAATAGGTTAAGGAAATTCTTGAATTTGTCTCTGGTTCGTTGATTGTCCATCTCTACTTAAGCACGTCTTGTCTTCTCACAGTGTGGATGACCATAGTCATAGCTGTAAAAATCTTATCTCGTGTGCCCATTTGTGATGCTTTCCCTTGGATCAATGGCATAATTGGCAATTCTTCAAGGAATTAGTAAAGCATCATTACAGCTTGGTGATCCTGCGCCGCCCTCAGTAGTTTACCAGCTGGTGTATTAGATATATGTTCTTGTTTTAGCTTTGATTTGTAATTTTCGGTTTACTTGGTTTAGCGTTTTCTCTGGTTTACTTTGGTTTAGCGCTTGTGTGAGAGTATTTTTTGCCGCTTTCTTGTTCATTTTGATATTCAGTACCAAACTTCTATCACCCACATTGGTGTGTATTCCACTGCATTGGCGTTGGCATCGTTTCAATTGAAAGATGATAGTTCCCAAGAGTGATGAGTGAACTTGGCGCAGCTCATGATCTTTCCAATTCTTGACACATTGGCTGTATGCAGGTGCGGTCCATGCAAAGTGATAGCACCCAAGTTCAAAGAGCTCTCAGCCAAGTACGAGGACGTTGTTTTCCTGAAGCTTGACTGCAACCAAGAAAACAGGGTCTGTGAAAGATTCAAACAAATAGCAAATGCATGGATTAGTGATCTTCGTATTCCGTGGTGTTTTTGTTTTCTTTTCACGCAAAATCTTGAAATTCTTCTGGTTTGCAGCCATTGGCGAAGGAGCTAGGCATAAGGGTGGTTCCGACCTTCAAGATTTTGAAGGACGGCAAGATCGAAAAGGAAGTGACCGGGGCGAAATATGAAGACTTAGTCGCCGCCATTGAAGCAGCAAGGTCGAGCTAATTCTCCTCCCTCTTCTGTTTGTATAAAGTATCAGAATCACCAGCCGTCCGGACATGACTGTTTCCATGTATGTATGTCATGTTATGTATGTATCTATGTATTGTTTCACCAAATCCACGACGGGGGCCTAAGAAAACTTTTGCCCCTATGTTGCTTCTGATGATCCCATATACACGTGTTGTGAATGGTTTTGATGAAATGAGTGTTTTTCATTGCTTGTGCGATGAACCGTTAACGAATGGATTGCTAATTCTTGTATTGATCATTAAAACACGTGGTTTTGTTTTATCAATTCGATTTAATTTTGTTACTCGTACAAAAATATTCATGGAAAATCCAACTGGATAGTTCATCAAATCCAGCACGTGTTATATTTTAATCCATTTGAAGGAAGATTGTAACAATTCGAAGCAGTTTGGACCGTTTTATTTAATTAAAAGAATAAAATGATCAGGAGATGGCTTTGGGAGGATTAACGAATCTCCGCGACAATGGGGGGATGAGTTAGAGACCGGATCAGGGCGAAGATCTCAGCCGCGGTGACACGTGGCGACATGAGAGAGCGAGTGTATTCATAGCATCAGACGCGCTCCGTCTCCCTTGTCAGTGACTGCGCGCGTCTTTGGTTTCATCGAGATACCTAAAGCAGAGGCAAAACCCTCTCTCTCTCTCTATAACCTTCTGTACGGAGGAGCAAGAAGGAGAAAAAATGGCGACTTCTTCGTTCTCAGCCACATCGCCGGCCGCCTCCGTCTCCGCCGTCTCCAAAACGACGTCGCGCTTCCCTCTCCAGAACCGTTCTCATCTTCCTCGCAGAGTCTCCTTTCGCCTCTCTTCCAGGCCCAAGCTTCGCTTTCTCTCCAAGGTACGCGATTTTTCGGATTCGTTCCCCAATTGGATGAAGAATTCGTATAATGTGGCCATTTTGTTGTCATAAGTTCTCATCTTTTGATGGAATGTTTGCGCTTGCAATTCGATTCCGCTGTTCTTGTCGATTTCGTATTCAAATGGGGAATGATATTTCAAATCGGAAAACTGGGATGGTTCGATTTTCAATTTCTCGTGATCTGGGGGAAATTCCTACTGGGTTTTGTCTTCAAATAGACTGAAATTAAATCAAACATTGAAGTTCGATCACGCAGGAGGTGAAGGGTGAGTTCTCGTCTATGATTCAAACGATTTGAAACACTTCTCTGTCAATTGAAAATGTCTACTCCGGTTCTTTAATTCTGGTTGTTCTCCAGAACCAGGTTCATTACTGTTTCATAGTTTAACATTGTTGTAGTTAATTCTCATAGATTGAAATGTTTGTCCATATTTGAATCTATCATATTCTTCCACAAAGGGAGTCTCTTGAATTCAAGTTTTGTCCAAGCCAACAATGTGTTGAGTAACATTCTTGTTCTCCCTCGAAATTGTCTCAGAAAACAAGCGCAAAGTTCTTGAAATCTTTTTCGGTGAATTAAACTTTGGCGAACCTCTATAGAATCTTTTTCTTTCTTTCTGGTTTTGGTGTCTAATTGTTTCATCTGGAACCTGCAGCCGAGTCGGAATGGCATTTCTGTGGTGAAAGCGCAATCGAGCAAGGTAAGCAGCTCTCCTAGTGAATTTTGTGACGAAAATGCATTTTTCTCCAAATTTCTTCAGTTCTGGACTACCTTCTGGAGTCTCCTCCTGCCTTTAAAGGTTGGTGGTGGTGGATCATCAAATGCTTCAGAACCATCCACAAAACTTGAAGTGCCATCAACTGAAGGAAAGGATACCGACCCATCGAAAGGATCTTCTTCCTCATCTGCTTTAGCTACAGAAGAATCCATATCCGAGTTCCTTACTCAAGTGACAAATCTTGTCAAGTAATTACACTCTCCCTTGTTTTTTTGCCAGTTCTCCGTATCTGAACATTAGTCTGAAGCATATTTGGTGTATCTGTTTTTATTCAACTACTAACTCTGCATGGTGCAGGCTTGTTGATTCAAGAGATGTAGTTGAATTGCAGTTGAAACAACTCGACTGTGAACTGGTCATCCGGAAAAAGGAGGCCTTACCTCAACCACAATCTCCTACACCGGTTGTGATGATGCAGCCACCTACTCAACCATCTTTTATGAATGCAGTACCTTCCCCTCCTCCTGCTCCACCTTCTGCATCTCCAGCTCCTTCTTCTCCGGCCCCATCTGTTCCAGCATCCCCTCCTCCATCGCCCAAGTCATCGCTTCCTACCCTTAAAAGCCCTATGGCAGGCACTTTTTACCGAAGTCCAGGACCTACTGAACCACCTTTTGTAAAGGTTAGGATCTTTGCTGATTTTGATCCTGTGCTCAGGTTTTTAACAGGGTGAATTTTGCTATAAATATCTGAAACCCTATGCAGTCAAGCTTCACTTCTGGAATTTTGGTTACAAATTTCTCCTAAGTTGAGCCGTTAACTTTACAAAATTGCTTTTAACTATTATTCCACTAAGCTAAGGTTATCTCATGAATGTGAAAGATGAAAAGGCCAGTGATACAAAACGTTACTGGATAGCCAAGATCCGAAAACTTGAAAACTACAAATGTTCACTTGCACTATATTTTGTTTTTAGTTTCATATCATCCGTTCTTGCTGTTTTAGGTTGGAGATAAGGTGCAGAAGGGACAAGTTCTATGCATCATCGAAGCCATGAAATTGATGAATGAAATAGAGGTGAGTTCCTAATTTTCTGATTTTGAGTCAGCATCTCTTCCAGATTATCGTTGTTCTGTGTCTGTTGTGTCTGGTCTCTCCTTTATGTGTAATTTTTCCAAGCATGAGTTCTGACAGTTAACGACCGTATTGCTAGTTGATGGTTAACTACAGTTCAGTTGAAACCACACAAAAAAAAAAAAACCCTTTCCGACATACACTCTACTCAGCTGGGTTTAACTTAACTGGCCTAAGTTTGATAACTTCTGCTCTTCACCAAAGACTATGTTCTTGATAGCAGCATTCCTGAAATTTTCTTGGAAAGAGCCAAAAACTAATTACACATGCAATAGTGGTAGAAGAGAAAGTTACAGTCTAAATAGTGAAACTGGTATCATATTATGTCCCATCATGTGGGTTGGATAGGACCTTCTAAACCGGATTTTCATTTTGTCTTTCTGCTCGAGTTTATCTTTGGGTTTGAGACATGAAACTTTTCTCTTCAGGCTGACCAGTCAGGAACCATAGTCGATATCCTCGCGGAGGATGGCAAGCCTGTCAGTGTTGACTCAGTAAGTAGTCTTGCCATTTGGGAAATGGATTTTAGATCTCTTCGATCCGGACAATCTCGTGTGTACCTACCAAATCGTCACTCGTTTGATATCACTAATTCGTGCAATCTTTACTTATATTTAACCTTTTTTTTTGGAAAATTTTCCAGCCTCTCTTTGTGATTAAGCCATAGATTCGGAACACCAGGAGGAGGGGGAGGAGTTCATATAAAGAATGAGGGGACCTGTGGGAATGTTTTCATGGCAATCATTAGGCTGGTTTGGTCAGAGAGATGAGTTCAGTTGGACAAATTTTTTTTTAAAGAACTGTCTTTTTGTTCAGTTGTGTTTAGAGAGAGTTCATCTTCAGGGCGATAATGGCTCGTTTTAGTTTGGTTTTGGAAGCATTCTGGTTGGTTGGTTGACTGAAATGGAAGCTTTGATAATATTTGATATTTTTTGTCTTTTTTTTCTGCAAATAGTAATTGTATGAATAGATACGAATGAATACTGAAAAAAATATATAAATAATATGGCTAATAAGAAATAATCAGGAGGTGCTTTGGGTTTATGATTAACATAAACCATCTTCTGAGCGGGAAATCACTCAAATATACCAAACGTGTCGCAATAATTTCAGCGATACACCAAAAAAAAAGTAATTTTTTTTTTCAATTCTATACGATTTTTGGGTTTAAAAAATTCGAAACAACCTTTTTTTCATATTTTTTTACGACTACGACTGTTATATAACTAGCATACGACTACAAAAAATCGTATAACAACTAAAAATCTTGTAAACAATTAGATGTATTTTTTGTCATTTCATTTAGAATCAATTGCAGTTATATTTAGAATCAATTGTAATTGTATTTAGAATCAATTACGATATTATAATTATAATTATACGATTTCATTAAGGGTAATATGATCTTTTCGAAGAAAATTTAATGGATTATATTTTTTTTGGTGTATCGAGGAATTACTGCGAGAGATTTGGTATATTTGAGTGTCTGAGCTCCTCCCCCTCTCTCTCTCTCTCGCTCTCGTAACGTGTCTCTCTTTAGTTGAAGAAGAAATTTGCATTCAAAGATGAGAAGTCTTTAGCTTAAAAAGCAAGGACGGAAAGCAATGGTTTTTGCAATGCCAGCATCCGTCTTGGGCTTATGTTTCTCTGCATCTGTGCTTGAAAAGCCTTGACCTTTCTCATAGTTATGTCTGATGTATTGTTTTTTCGACATTTCGTGGGTGATTCATAGGCTTCAGAGTTCAGACCCGTCTTTAGTTTGGAGTTCGTTCCTGCCAAAAGATGGAAACTTTATTTTCGGTAATTGTCTACCCATCTGAGTTTGAGCTTCAGCGCATGAAACAGGAGGGATCCATGGTGATGGGTTATTCGATAATTATAAAAAAGAGTGACGATGAGGACATGGTCGACCAGAGAGTACGCGCTTATGGAACAAGTAGATTAAAGCGAGTTCAAATTGGCTCTTTTGGGACTTTTTCGTGCGGTTTTTGTTTCTAGCAATTTGAAATTTTTTCTTCTTCTACTTTACGGATTAAATCGATGGGTGGTCGTGCATCAGATCAGGATCTCAAAGCAACAGAGAACAATTTCGTGTTTAATTACCGTGTAAATCCAGTGCATGTTCATCGCAGATTCTTATGCACATGGAATACCCAGTGGTGTTCATCGTTGCATAGGAAATTTCTCTGTATGTTTAGGGTTTGCTTCTTGTAGAAGTGTGGTTTGTGGATGAAATGTGCTACGCTGCCATAAATTTGGGGGAAATGTTGTTCCAAAATGATCCCCGGATACTCTATTGTGACCCATAAACAAAGTTTAGAGCTTTCCTGATCGTTTCTTCCCGGGACGGTGGTTATGGAAAATTGTTCCTTTCTTTGAATCGAGTTGAACCAGAAATCTAAACATTTGATATCTTTACCGCCTGATGAATTCTTGTGTAATGATGAAGAATTGGTCCTCTTCACATAACTGTTGTTTGGCCCTACATGAAATAGTGTCTGTTAGTTCTCGTGTGCAGACCACTCTGTCGGGTTAAACTTATGTCCGAAAGTGAGTCACTGGTTTCTTGGTCGAGAGATCTGAATAGTCTCTGCTCAGTAGGGAACTGATCAATATATCCGGTTAATTACTGTGCCCACTTTGTTAAGTAGCTCTTTGATGCTGTACTATGTTTATACTGCTTCCAAGTTGCATGTTGCTTCGGCAGTTCTTATTTATGGTGCCTATGGTTTCCCTGCCGTGGTTAGATTGAAGTCTTGTTTTTTTGGCCTTGTCTTATGTGTTTTCTTGTTTGGATTGATGACTGGCAGTGGCCATGTAGAAAATTGACAGATAAGATTGTGATGGGAAGGCAGGTTTTGATCAAAGGAACAGAGCTTAGCGAGGAGCTTGAAGCACAATGACCGACAGATGATGCGATTGAGATGATGGGATTGGTGAACAACAACTTAGTTTTGATTGGAACTAAACAAAAGAATTGATTATTGAGGTAGATGGAACAGGTATGGGATTATTGATTCTCCTTTTCTGGGATGGGGATTAGCATTAGAAGTTATATGTTCGAATTCATAGTAAATCCACTGAACTCGTAGATGTAACAATCGACAAATAAAACCCGAGTTGCCATGGAAGCATAGGAAGAATTGGACAAAAGTTCTGCAGCTGGGTTCACATTTGTGAGAAATAAAAATGAACTTATTTTCTCTACTTTTAGTTTTAGACTGATGTTATTTTCTATTGAAATGGTGGGTTAAGGTCCTTCTGACTCTCTAATTTGCATAAGGAAATGCAAACCGAGAAGGAAGCCATCCTCTGTGTAAGTCTTCATAGTTGATTCTTTTATTGCTTCACTGGCTCTGATTCCTTTTTTTTTTCTCACAACATTTGAGTAGAAATTGGCACATGCATATATTATATGATGAATTAATGAAAGCTTTCGACTTAAATGTTCATTAAAATGCTTGAAAGGTTTGTCTGGCGCATGACTTTACTGTTACTTGGATTTAACTCCTGAATGATAGGAAATAACTTGTTCTTTGACAGACGTGGCAGTCTTATTTCCATGAAGAAAATTGGGAAGATCCATACAAGCTTTAGTTGATGTAAAAGGAAAATGTTCAGCTCTAGCTAGCCACAGTTATTGAACTTGAGAACTTAGTAATGTTTTGGTATTCCATGTGTTTGAAGTCGGTAACTGATGTATGTTCAATCGTTCGGTATTATTTTTATGAACTTACTGAATTTCTTTTCGGTAAAAATATAGAATCATATACTGAAAGTGTTTTTGCATGGTGATATCAGACAGTTGGGTAGATATTTCAGTCTTGAGATGGTTAAAGCTACTTCTTGATCAACCAACTGGTCGGGGTTCCAGAACCATACGATACATGTGGAAAGGGACATGGCAGATTGAACATGCAAGGTATCAAATTTTAGCTTCGGATACTTTGTGAATCCATAAGACATGCCTTATTTCTTAATATTTTCTTGCAGACATGAAGTCTTTTTTTTTGGCATAGATCTCTTAATGACCCATGTCTTGTATGGTTAGTACTTCTCACTACACGATTAACAAACTGTGACATGCATCTATTTCCAAGCTGAGGAGAAAAGACGCTCTCTGTCTTAAGCTCATTCTGGTTTTTTTCACGTGTGAATTCTTGTTCTTACTGATAGATCTACTCCACCAACAAAGCTTTGCAGAATTAGTGTTGGAAACTGAGAGAACTATTGTGGTCATGATGAAGAAACGCACATGTATATTATCAGTTGACTTTTAAAGCTTTGGACCCTTTTCTTCTTCTTGGATTGGCTCTTTGATTCTGATACCTCTCTTTGGTGTTTCCCTCTTTTTTTTTTTT